GTTTTCTTTCTACATTTTTTCTATATGTCTCTTTCTCTCTCTCTTGTCTCTCTTTCTCTCACTCTCTCTGGTGTTGAAAGCTTGAAATGCACGAGGACGAAGGTAGCAAGGATGCTCGTTGTGGGAATCTTTCACGAAATTAAAGGACGATTAGGATAAAGAATTACCGGTGACTGTTTCTCACGACTGTCACTGGTCGAAATGAGAAAATTACGGCTTAATTAAGAATGGTCAAGAGCAATGAAAAATACTCCGAAGTACACTTTAGAATCTGAAGAGGCGAAGATAGTGAGTGCGTAGAGAATTCGGTGTAGCGTGATCTGCGCACGAGTTTCGATTGTCAGGAGTCAACGTTACTTTTTATTGAAACGAGATCAACAGTTTGACAGCCACATCATCGACATCAACAACAACTACAACAACAACAACAACAACAACACACCAACCATCCTACAACCGGGCATGCCCTGAGAGTACGAGAGTAGCCTGCTTGCGTGTGCGTCCAGGTATGAGAGCGAGTATGCATGGAGCGCAACGTGTGCCAAGGGGAGCGAGAGAGAGGGAGAGAGAAAGAAGTTAGATCGATTGGGTACGATAGTGTCTGACCTGAGGGTGTGGAATACGATCGAGAGAGAAAGTGAGAGAGCATCGAAGAGTCTGTAGGGAGAAAGAGAAGGAGAGAGAGAGAGAGAGAGAGAGAGTGAGCAAGAAGGAGGAAAAGGTCTCGTGTGAGAATCTGTTCACGTATACGACTGTTGTGTGAGCGTGCGTTTGTGGAAAGAGAGGCCTAAGGCCTAACGGGTGTATGTACGTATAGGAGAATGAACGGGTTGTCGAGAATTGTGTGCGTGGAACAGAGAGAACGCGTCGAGTAAGAACGAACGTCAGAGAGAGAGAAAGGGAGAAAGGCGAGATATAAAGAGAGAAAGTAACGAAAAAGAGAGAAAGGGGACAGAATCAACTGACGGGCACGTCCTGGTTGTAGGATCGGTGATGCCGAAGAGGGAGGAAGCCGCGATGGCGGCAGTGGCTGCGGCCGCCAATGAAACAACGCAAGTCGTCGAGAATTTCGCGCGACTCTACACGGCACTGCGCCACGACGAAGCTAGGCCTCTCTGCCGTTACTGCGGCAGGAGCTACTCGTCGCCGAGCAACCTCCGGCAGCACGTGAAAAATGTCCACTCGAATTGGCCGCCGCCGGAGACATGGCCGCAGTGCAACGTGTGCGGGAAACGGTGCAAGACCAAGCACTACCTGATCAATCATCAGCTTCAGGCACACGGGATACACCAACGGCCCAGTCTGAACAATCCTAATCAGCAGCAACCGCAGCAACAACAACAGCATCAGTCGCCCTCCTCGTCGTCGTCGTTGCCGTTGCCATGAGTACGGTCCTCCTCGTCTGCCGTTCCGTTGTTGTCCAACAACGTCCACAAGAAACGGTTCTCGAGCAGATGAAGCTCAGCGTTTCTCGTCCGCGATCTTCGTCGATACAGGATGGTCGAAATTGCTCTTGTAGGCGCTTTTAGGGTGGATTTATTTAGCATCGGTTTCGATGTTCTATCTACGTACGGTAGAGATTACTCGGGGATGTTTCTACGTGCTATTTTTACTTGTGAGGATGGAATAATCCAGGTTATGCCCTGGTTTTTAGTAGGTATTTATACATCACTCTTGAGTTAAAAACGGTACGAACGGATTAAACGCCTGTATAAACGAGATCACGATCGGATTCACATTTTCCATAAAATTCAAACAATGACGGCAGACGAATAGTTGCGAGACTTAGGAAAAATAAAATTTTATATCGTACTTGTAAACAATCACGATATTCCACCCTATAAGAGAGACTATAGACATGGTACGAATAGTAAGATTTTTGGCACGTGTAAAAAGACACATGGCACAAGAAACTATTGATGAGATTGCATATTTTGTAAGTTGAATTGTAATAATGACAAACGCTTACACACCTCCGCCACCTTCGAGTCAAAAGAGGAATAAGACGCGTCAGCCTGTTGTAGAACGTAGAATATAATATCCGGGGGTAGAGAGCGTATTCAGCCATAACGCGCGTGTAATATCCACACGCAAAGAGCGAGAGAGAGAAAATCGGACGGTTTCCGTAATAATCTGGCACGTGAGATTCTGTACGGACACGTTCAAGCATCTCTCCGTTGAGCATTCGATTTACGCGATGATTGCGCGAATTCCGCGCAGTCCGCTGTCTGGCAATTGCACGCGATATCGAGCAGAAAGAGAGAGCGAGAGGGAGCAATTAGCGATTCCGGCAGATATGTATAACCAGTAACCGGTAGCCATTTGCGGGAGATGTAACAGATCTCTAGATACATATTCCGCATGAATCAATGGGATGGATAGATAGATAGATAGATAGATAGGACGGCATACTCGCGGGCATTCGGTACTCTCCGTTTTTATTAGGGGTTGGGGTTTGAGGGTTTATGGTGGTGGTGGCTGGTGGTAACGTTGGTGTGGTGGTGGTTGCAGATCACGGGCTCGATGAAGCAGAGGGCGCGGCTTACCACCACCACCACAGCCATCACCAGCAACATCATCGGCATCGTCATCATCATCCACTATCCGCTCCTCCTCCTCACCATCATCATCACCAGGCGCTACAGGAAGATGACCAGCAACAGCAGCAGCAGCAGCAGCAGCAAGACCAGCCGAAGAGTACGTCATCGACCGCGAACACAACCACCACGACCAAATACCAACGGAACCCGCCAGATTACAGGCAACAGAAGATCATCCGCGACCTTCACCAGCAGCACGGTTACAGGTGTCCCCTTTGTTATAGAACGTTGCAGGATATCAGCACGATGAGGGCTCACTTGGAGCATCATTATCCGCGCGATTCGCCCACCTGTCCGGTTGCTTCGTGCGCGAAAACCTTCTCGCACCCTAACAGCGTGAGGAACCACATGCGTTTGAAGCATCCGGTGCAATGGGATCAGATCAAGACGCTCAGATGGACCTACGTCTGATAAAGTGGCCCCACACGGGTGCTTGGCATCTGTCTCGATTGCTCTGAACCCGCGTAGCTATTTTTAGTAGCCATTCTTGTTTCTCTCTCACTTGGTTTTCTTAAACGAAATTAACGCTTTATTTTCTTTTTTATCGTTTCAATTCGCTCTCCATTCTTCGGGGTTTTTACGGTTCTCTGTTCTTCTGTCGACTATCGATCTTACGCACCTTATCGTTTCTTGGACACGGTGTAGGGTGCGTTTCGACGAAAAAGTCTCGCGTGCCAGAGTTTATGAAACGTTCGTAAGGATTATATACGCGTTGGTATTAAATTACGAGCTGGTTGAATGTAAGTATACCATCGGGTATGAGGAATAGGGGAAGAACAAGGAGGGCGGGAGGGTTGAAGACTATTTCAGCGAGTTACGCAGGGGATTGATCCCTCTTCAGTGCTTTATTCTCGAGACGCGACACAAATAGCCATCTCTCTTCCTGACAATTAATGCCCATTGAGAAGCGCACATTTTGTAAATATTCGGGAGATTATTATATATATATACATATATTATATATATAAAGAGAAGAGAAGGAATATATATTATACAAATAAAAAATATATAGAGAGAGTATATATATATATATAAAGAGTAAATCTATATATACATATAGAAGAGAGAGAAAGAGTTGATTTTGTATAAAAAAATGTACGAAGCAGTATTTCTAGTAGAGCCTGAAAAAAAGGAAAGGGATTAAAACGTAGTCACACCAATAGAGATTGTGTAATAATAATAATAATAATAATAATAATGATAAGGTCGACGTTGATTACGAGACTACGATGTTGGATACATATAATAATAACGTTTAGAGTTAACGTATTTTAACAAGAGAAAACAATGTTCCTCTAAAGCTGAGTAAGCCAGCCTTACGTTAACGAGCGTAGTTTTTAAGGAAAAGCGTAGAAAATGAATGGAGAAATCTTTTAGACATGGATATAGTCGAATTTATATTGTAGCGCCAGAAGAATGGACGGAGAAAATGGTTAAAAACTAAAACAATATTCGGGCGATGGCAAAAAGTATAAGAGATATATCGGCTTTAAGTTTGCGATGCTTCCGTAATCGTTATCACAAGGAACACGACGCAATAAGAACATTAATACGTATATTTACGACACACGCGTAGAGAAACATATGTATTATATTAAACAGACGCGTAAAATGCGCCGCGCCGTGTAAAACGCTGAAGGAACGATCGACCAGCGACACGACGTGCAGTCAGATTCGAACAACGCCTAGCCTTATTTTTCTACAGACTTCTGTTTTTTCGTCAGTATTCCGTAGCTGAAGAATATCTTCCCAGGCAAGCATTAAGTTCTATTCAACACACCCACGTACGATAGTTACTAGAGAATACGCTGCGAATAAATTACGAGAAAATATATAAATATAAATATATACTTGTATGAACGAGTTGTCGCTTGCGCGAGTGGTTGGAGATAGACACATGATCACACGATTCTCAGGACTATAATAACATAGTCTTTTGAGTACTTATCAGAGCCTTGTAATTATTTTTAACTTAAGGTCAACATTCTTCCTTGTTCACTTTTGCATATTATTTGATGAGAATCACATTTGCAAGCGCCAACTCGTTCCGCGAACAATGTATAGAGCATCATACGCACTATTTTAGCAGATACTAGCATACGTAAGATTCGACGTAAGACACACGAAATGAAGTATATACTATTTAAGTAATGCTTTGTACAATAAAAGGTATTCAAAGAATCTAACCTGGTTCGTCAATCCTTATTTCACTTGGATTCACATTTATCTTTGCCATCATTTTGTACAACGAGACAACATTTCTTTTCTTCCCTTCTGTTTTTAACATCTGATTTTTTTCTCCCCCAGGACTTTTTTTCACTAATCGTAACTTCTGAGACTGACGAATTTTGCACACCACGGGAAAGCATTCATCAGCCTTTTGTTTGTCTTATTTTTCAGTCGGCCGTCGCGGTCTGGACATGATGCGGGTCCGCGCTACGGATCCACGCCCCTGCCCGAAATGCGGCAAGATCTATCGATCTGCGCACACGTTACGCACCCACCTGGAAGACAAACACACGATCTGTCCGGGATATCGTTGCGTCCTATGCGGAACCGTGGCCAAGTCGAGGAACTCGTTGCACTCGCACATGTCCCGACAGCATCGCGGCATCAGCACCAAGGATCTGCCGGTGCTACCGATGCCAAGCCCATTTGACCCGGATCTAGCTTCGCGTCTGTTGGCGAAGGCGGGTGTCAAGGTGAGTCCCGCGGAATTGCGAGCTCGTGCCAGTCCTACGGGGCCCAGGCGGGGTGACATGAGACTAGAAATACCACGGGGTGGCGCGCCTTCTGAGGCGGGAAGCAGCGTGTGCGGCGGAGACGATCCGGAGGATCTCACTCTGCCATTGAGTCTCAGGTATGGATCACCGACGCCGAATAACAACACCGTGATCACCAAAGTCAGTGGTAGCAACAGCAGTAGCAGTACCAAGAACTCGACGGCGACCGCGATAGCGGCTAAATCTCTGGACACCATGCACGGTAGCCGTGAACCGAACACGGCACCTCTTCATCCGCCTGGACACTTACATCCTAGCCACCATAACGCAAGCGCGACTGGATCGGCGATCCTGGACACTTACCTGCAATTTATCGCCGAGAACTCTGGATTAGCAACGATGGGATTGAGTCCCGAGCAAGCCGCCGCCGTGGCGGCTGCTCACGCAGCTAAGATGGCTCACATGAGCGCGATGGATAAGTTGGGCAGTCGTGGCATTGAGGATTATCCTATGATCGGACGAGACGAAGGTCGAGGACCGGGCGTGGTGCATGAGGATCGTCAAGACTTGATGCAGGACAGGCACGGCGGACTGATGGAGGAGGCTGAGTCGTCCGGTGGCGAGGAAGACGACTTCAGCGAGAACGAGGAGCCGGAGATCGTTAAAGCGGAATAAACGAGTTGGCATCGCTAGCAAGAATCTGTGACCAGATTTGGTAACACGTGAACCGATTAGGAAGTGCTTCGAAGAGTCGCGTTTGGGTTCAATCAGGTCGAGTCCAGGCATCGGATCTTCGTTCAGCAGTCAAATAATCCATCCACTACCTCAAGTAGAGACTTACTCCTGTTTTCTTTCTGTTGAGAGATAGAATTTTTGTTCCCAAAGATCGAAGAAGAAGAAAGTTGATAAAACGAAGAACTCACGTATGGACACAGAGGCAGAGACCCGATTTCGATCGGTGAGCGAATTCCTCCTACGCTCGTGACACAAGTGAACCAAGTTTTTCGTTACTACGTCATCAGAACACACATGAACACACACGAACACACAGATGTACACATATATGCGCGTATACATACACATTTTTATCCCGTTCAAAATATTCCATCTGTCTACCTCAGTGAACACGATAAACGATAAGTGATAGGGCAGACCAAGACGAATCTCATTCACGAAAATCTTAAAAGGGAAAGGCGGAGCGAGATATGATCGGAACGTGAAGTAACCTACGGTTATTTACTACGATTTTAGTCGCGTTACAAGACATTATTGCGATCATGTGTCGTGCATGGCTGGAGCTAATTCGTTTTTAGAAAAATCGAGGCAAACGCGAGAGTATGTGAGCAACCCATGCCGACGCCGGGGCAACTGTTTTATTCTTTTTATTTTCGAAAAGTTTAAATGAGGGAAAAGATGAGAACGGTGACCGTCGCGAGGCACGCGACTCCCGGGAAGATATTATTATATTATTATTAATAATTATTATTATTATATATGAATGTTGAGGAAAAATATATATTGTCTAGATTTATAGAGAAGTTAGTATACCGCGTCACGTGCATGCGTATGTACACGGATACGCGTATGGCAGACGGAAAAAGAATGAGGAGGACGTATTAAAAGTAGAGTGGATACGTGTAGCGTTTAGAGCTAGCATCCCCTGTATTTTTTAGATGCGTGCACTTCGGAAATATACACTTACACGGCATTACGTACATAAAATACACGCTCGCACTGTACCATTTTATACGTACGCGGATCCGTAACGCGTTATGGGTATGATTGAAACGCGCGCGTGTTCCTGTCTCGCCAATGTAAGAATCGCGCTGCTAGAAGCGCGGTCATTATCATAATTGTTAGTTGTCTACTCGTTTTATCGTGGAGAAAGAGTGGAATATAAGTTTGGATAAAATTCGTTATGCTGATTAACGAACGGGAAATCGTTTATAGCATGAAACGATAATATGTATGAAACAAGATTGGCTTAACAAGTCTGAAGTAGAATTAGACGACGCAGTACGCAAACTGCTCGATTTAGAGAATCGTAAATATCGAAAATCTTCGTCGTTCCCTTCTTTTCTCAATTCACGTATGCCCCGTTGTAGATTTTATTTTTTATCAAATTATGAATCCATCCCAGGGCTTGCCATGACTTACTTAGTACTTAAGTTCTTTAACGATTTCAAAGTTTGTTTGTCTACCCCTCCTTGGGAACGACACGATATTTTACCTGTAGACGATACCTTTGTACACAATTAGTTGCTCGTGTATTTTTTCGTGTTCTTTGAAAGTTAACAAAAAGGAAAGTAAAGAAGTGTAAGGGGAATGATTATAGAGTCACAGTTTGGAACGAGAATCACGAGATTTTCTTCCTTGTCTTCTTCTTTCCCATCGCAGTACTTCCATATTCTTTTAGTTCCGACTTCCCATCAACTCTCTCAGTCGGTTTTATTTATGTATCAGTTAACTTTTCTCCTTATTTCACTTGCTCGACGACATTAAATGTTGTTGCAACATGAACGTTCTAAACGTGATTCTTGTTCTTCAAGTGATACGATTACGATAGAGAGAAGGGAGGCCCGGACTCCTAGCCCGCGATCAGACTCGGAAAAGTATAATATTGAAATGGTTCCTACTAATTGAATGCATACACGAGCTACTTTGATTTTATTGTATACCTTGAGGAGACATATTACGTATAAAAAATATATATATCTATATACACTTATTAGGTACGCCTAGGACTAGGAGAAAAGAGAAACTTACAATTAGCAATACGTAGTGGCGCAGCACGGTGTGTAAGAAACACTTCTACCGTCTCACGTTCTTTATTATAACGGTTATTATTTTGTCACCTTTAATATCTCTTTTGTTCTTGCGTGAAAGTAAAGAGTGACAGTGAGTAAATGAGAGAGTACCGATTATGGTAGATGACGAAACTCTTCGGATTTTAGCGCCTGTTTTCTTTTTGTCTAGGTTTAGTAGATTATACACAATACTCGGCATATGCTAACTAACCCATTCTTAGCCTGTAAGAGCATTTTATCGATGAGACACAGGGACTTTCTCGGTGACTTTGATCAGCCACTGATGAAAACGTAAATTTCTGTGTATCTCAAGCGCGACTATACGTCCAAGAAAGGAAAAAAGAAAAAAGAAAAAAAAGAGGAAAGAACAGAATTACGTAGTGTCGAGAAATCAAAATTGACGATTGACTGGTGGATCGAACGTGCGTGACGAGCGAATTTTTTGGTGTGCAACGTCGACTCGCCTCTTCCACGTACGAATTCCCTATTTGTTAGTAAGCTCAGACTATCTAACAAAAAGTATACTCTTCATACAAGACAATAATTACACGAGCACGTTGGCGAGTTTAATCAGAATAATTTGGATTGACGGGGTGGTCCAGAGGGGACGAGCTCGACGTTGTGGTTCACGAATTTTTAAAACTTTATATTGTATATACGTATTATATACGATATAGTTTGTATACGATTGAAACATTTGTATACGAATCACGCGATGTGGCCATCCAAAATCCAAACGAGGGAATCAGATCGGCTCTCGTTCGACGTCTTTCCTATCAGTTAGTCCACGGAGCGTGTTGTTTTAACTTAACACTTGTTATGGACATAGAAATTTTTAATTGCTCGTTTCAGCCCGATAGCTCCACGAATCGTCGCGCCGCGAAATTACTGGGAAGCTTAGTAGACAACGCGTTTTAGACCGAGAGAGACGTGTACGTCAGTACAAGATACAATACGGGAATGATCAATCGAGACGCGAAATCAGGTCTAAACGGTACAAAGAAACCACTTCTTGCCTTGAATAAGCTCTCTAGAAATATTATGGATCCGGGCACGGGAGTGCCAAGAGATAAGGGTAAGAAAAAAGAAACGGAATGAGAAAGAGACAAAAGAATTCTTCGCAGAGTACAAATTTATCCGCGGTATTTACCGAGGAGGAGAATCTTTAAAAAACAAGAGAGAAAGAAAATTAAAAGTGAAAAAAATAGACACCGAATGGAAGTTGGAAGCTAAGAGGTTTTCTGGGTATTCTTAAACACGTTTGTAGTAACCACCTATTCGAAACGAGGACGAAAGTAGGGAAATGGAAGGAACATCGAGTTGATCGTTTTCTTTGTGCCATTGTGAATACTTAATCGAACATGACGCGATTCGAGACTTCTTTTTCTTCTATCTTTTTACATTCGTTCATTGTTTCATATTCTTTTTTTCGTCGCCGATAAAAGAAGAAAAGAGTATACGAAGTGCTCCAGTGCTTCAGTTCATCCCCCACGCGTACATAGTTGATGTGAAACACAGTGATCTCGTCAATAGACTTTCTTCTTCGTGTTTTCTTTATTTTTTTTCGTCGATTTGCGTTTTTCTTTTCCTTTTTTTAAACCACGCCGACAGTTTCACTAACCGTCGCGCGATGTACGTAATATACGGATGCGTATACAAGCACACATATACATATACACGGTATACATGTACAGAATCGTTGAGAACGCGAGACACTTATATGTATACATACATGCGCATGTTGTAAGCAAACCTAATAGTGAAAAGTGTGTTGGCCGGGTGCGCTCGTACGCCATTCAGAGTGACAGATTCACGCCCCACCCTGCAGATAATAGTTTTCTACGACAGTATTTATATATAGCTAAATATATGTATACAGACAGAATTATTATATATTGTATGTATATACGAAATGTACATATACATATTAAATATTTTTACACGAACGTTCCGCTTACGAGAGCACCCCGTCACTCAACCAGTCGGGTACACGTGTTAAATAGTCTGTTTTTTTTTAACATAGCTCGCAATAGTCACTTGGGATATAGAATACCACCAATTACAGTATTGCAATAATAGTTAGAAGCATAATCGTGTGCACCGTGTAAAAGCTCCCACGCCATCAAAAGCATCCAAACAATCGATCACACTTCTATCGATTACGCCGCGTGTGTGTGTACAATTGAAATATATAATTCTTGAAGATATCAAAGGATATAATTTCGAAATCGATAAACGATGAAGACATTATTTTCTTGGATTAGATATTCTCTCTGTACGATAATTGGACTAAGAGAAACGGTGAGAGAAGCTGGCTAACGCATGATGGAACGTACTATTAACGAAGTCAACAACGTTAGAGGCGTTATTCTCTCGGTACATCGACAATAATAAACGACGAGCATATCCGCGCTCGTAAAAACCAAATCGTATGCTCGCCTTCGCGTAGTTTTACGGTGATTGTAAAGGTGGATTAACGACGCCGTAAACGCGGCTAAGCCTTTCATGAATTGTCTGCCAGAAGCTACGCTTATCATCTTTGGAGAGAACGAGTATAATCGCTCCTGCCAATGAAACGAAATTCTCTTCTTGTCCAAGTACAGGAAAGTATAAGAAGCTGACATTTCGCAGCTGAAAAAATAATTCATAGTTGTATTCGAAAAGACTGCCAGTGATCGTTGCATTTGATAATCATGGAAATTGCACAGTACTCGTTTGTTCATTTTTGTTCAAATATCATCAGATGATAGCAATTGAAATTGACAAGTTTATTCGATCATGCGTTATCCTCCAGCATCAGGATCCCGAATTATCTCGTCTTTTTATTTTTGCGCGGTAGGGAGCGATCTGCCATCTCGGGAACCGGGCACGATTAGATAATGCATTGTTGTAAATGTAATAACAAACTCAGGAAATCTGAAGCAGCCAGGCCGTGATACTATACTTATAGAAACTATTACTACTGCTACTATATTACTTACTTACTACTACTACTACAGATGTAATTCTTGCGTTGAAACAGACGCTCGGATGATTCCGCGAGCCAAGCGCCTATTCTGTTTTGTTTCGTTTGTTTGTTTTTTCTTGTTTGTTACGAGATTTTACATTGGCAAGTGGCAACATGGCGTGTGCACACAGAATCTTGTAAGTCGGCGTGTACTCGATGAAATCTAATTGTAGCTGTTTCAGAAACATACCGGAGATGACTAATGCAAGTCATTAGTGTATCTAGCATCGTCACAAGTAATAGCCGACAGCTCAATTCCGTCTCACGAGTCATGCGTTGATGCAGGGATATAAAACCGAGAGGGGAAGAGAAACGATTGTGAAAATCATCAGCTACCTCCAACTTTAACGTTAATTAAATATCAGTCTTCTTCTCGCGCTGTATACTCACACTCATTACTCAAAGCATTACTTTTACGATGTTCGGGAAGCGAGTCAGTTGTTTTCTGAATGGGAACCGTACATTTTCCGTGTAGGACGGATATGTATTTATTATTATATAATTATGTATACACAACGTTTACACATAGTCAGAAGCGCGAGATAATATAGCTTCCACGGATTATATAGGTTTAAGGATTTGCCTCCTTGCGCGGAACAGTCAAGCCGGCGTGATAAAATACAATAAGAAAGAATGTAGAGAAGGAATAGTCGAAGAAGTCTTGCTTAGAGAGTCAAACGTCGCGTTTTAAAGTAAAAATGAAATACACCGCCCAAATTAATTAGAGATATTATTTTTATTGTACGTTCGTCTCGGTTGAAAATGTCAGGTATGCTAGACATAGGAATTTCGACAATCGCAAAAAACATGTTTCAATGGCCGCAAGTATTTATTCCTACAATTATTTTGAGCGGTGTAGAAGTAATAATTAAAATTGGCGAGTGACGAACCACAATGGAGCTACCTCAGTTTTACGATAGACTTAATATAACGCGGATGGGGCAGACATCGATATGCACTCGAGCTGCTACGTTTTCTCGCTGAAAGTGGACAACCTTATTCACTGCCAAGCGCGCACGACCCGACTGTTCTGCGAGCGACAGTGCTGAATTCCAAAATCACAATGCAATACGTTGTACTTACAGTCGTTTTTACGCGTTGACTCGTCAATACTTATTATACCGGTTAGTGATTTTATTGCTACATCGAGAGAAAAAGAGGGAGAGAGTGAGAATGAATGAAGGAGCGAGCGAGCAAATGAATAATACTTATAGGAGAAACAGAAAATAAAATGATCAATTTCTCGCGTAAATGTGTTTAATGCGTGACACGGGATATATATCGTAACGTAGAAATTTAAAAAAAGTATGACAGGCGAAGAAAGTATGCATGCCACGAAAGAGAGAATGCGAATAAAGAAGTTACGTTCGGATGGCCTCCTATTATACGCATATAATAATTATATTATTAGAAAGTGAGAAAAAAATATAAAATATACCTATCTACGTGATATTTTACAGAGAACATAATCAGGGACGCGTCGTAACCATAGACATATAATTATTATATTATATATTACATAATAGAGTCTTTCTAGTGATAGAGAAACCCATCAATCTCCTAACTTATTTTGTAAACTCATCGGATTGGGTTCGAGAAAGAGGAACGGTCGCGTAGCGAAACCAATCAGCGTGCAATTCTCGACGTACGGCGTGACCGAAATAATATTTTTCAAGATACTAAGAAGGAATGCTTCGTCGACGTCGGTCCTACACCATCGTCTCTAAAAATTGTCACGATCCTGCTGGAGGAAATTTGATAAGAGAAAAACGTTTCAGTTATGAAACGAATGTTTTTAATTCCATTATTCGTTGAAATAGGCCATACGAGGCACTGTCGTATAATGTGCTCGATTACTTTTACTTAAATAAATTTTGTGCAAACTTTTTAAGAATATACATTTTGTCATAGTTTCCTCCTTAATGGATAAATCACAGTTTCTTTAAACGTTGCATAATTTTGGGTCAAGGGAGCCTGTGAAACGGGGGTCATTTGTCCTGCGAAATGTATTACCGATTTGCTTATTATATCTCATTTCCGTATCGCTACGTATGAATCAACGTATTTTGCATATTGTTCAAAGCAGGTAAACAAGAATATTACGAGGAATAGAAGAATGAGAGAAGACAGAAAGAAAACTTGTAAATTATCAGAAGAAAGAGTTTGAGCGCCGTGAAGAGAAATAATACGAGAAAAGGGGAGTAAAGAATGAGTAGGGAAGATTAATTATAAGAAACAGAAATCATTGATCATCGGCCCCGTCGAGACGCAACGTCATCTCGTCTTTTACTTTGCGGTTAACTATCATTAAGGTGCTTCGATATTGTTATGTTACGTTTTTTATTACCGTCATTTAATACTAATGTTATTATTATTATTATAATTTCACTATTATTATTATTAGCTTCTCTAGATTGCGTTTAAGAAGAATGTATGTACATCTGTCTCTTGGTAGAGAACTGAGAAAATGAGAGAGATTTGCAGAAATGAATCGATGTTATTTCGTGGGCATTGAAATGAAAAGCTATATAAAGAATCCTTGACGCTTGAATTTATTTTATTCTCTGGTTTATTTTTCTTTCGATCGTTACTTTATTCCAACTCGATTTTTTGCCCACGTTTCTCGCCATCGAGACAGAAGCAGTTTTACTGTACGTGAACGAGCCAGTATGTCAGATACATCCTATTTTTCCATCCATCCTTTTTGGAATCCGGAATCCTATCTTTCTCGTTTCGTTGCCTCTTTTCATATTTGTAAATATCACCTAGTCTATTTATCTATTATTAACCGGTTTTCCCATTTACGAATTTTTCTCTCTACGTTTATGACCTCTTTTGTAATCTCTTTTGTACTTCTGTTCTGTCTTCCCTCTTCTCCTCGCACGTATTACGTTGTAACTTTATGTTCTTTACGTTTTTTTTTTTTTTTGCCATTCTTAGCATGTAAGCCATCCAACTTGCCAATACGATTACAATAAATATGTTTAGAAAGGAGAGAAACTGTGCTACCGTTCAGTTCATGCCCATTCGTTTCAGTTTCTTCAGTTCTCGTTCGATTCCAGCGTAAGGATCACAACGATTATTTAATTTCGATTCACGGTAAGTCAGAACCATACGGCTGTACCTTGCCAAAATAATATTAAACACTTTTATTAAAAAATTACCTGTAGTCATAGCAATTTTGAAACAAGCATTAAATGTTCCAAATTTATTTATATTGTTTTTATGTTTCGCGCTTAATTTCCGCATTCTCTTTTTCTATAAAATTTAACATTACGCCGTACGTCGAGTTACACCATCGCTATAAAAGATTAGGATTTACCGAACCAGAGTTGAAATTTCCAAGGAAGTACAAAATTCTTCATGTAAATATGGATACATATGTACATAGGCATGAAAAAGAGAACTGCACAACCTTTTTTCTAGGACACAAGTATTGTATTAAAGGAAACTCAAAAGGATACACATTTCATGTTCTAATAATTTAGGCGATCGAGACATTTTATCAGCGTTTATTACATATTTATCGGCCCTGTCTGTGTCCAGGAATAATGGATCGGACAGGAAATTGCCTCTAAATAGAACGCGAGCGTGAAACCGCGTTCAAACAGGAAACTGTGGCAAGAACACTTATGCTAAACTTACGTTATCTAGACGGATTGTTCGCATAGTTAATTGCACCTGAGTTGTGCGTATCTAATTAAAAATCGCGAAGGTTAATAACGACCTCGAAGGTTTCGATAGCTGATCGTAAAGTCAAGATAAATGTTCAGTTTAAATACAAATTAAACTTTACTTTTTATTTGTCGTATACATTATATTTCATGGTTTTGTTGATAAAGAAAAATTGCAAACATTTATAATTTATTTCCATCGTTTTTCGGATGTCAAACGCGATTCATGCGCAATCGATCGAAAGTGACAACGCTCGCCCGTAGGAAAGTGCCCGCGTTTTAAAGCGTCGCTCGTTGAACGTGTACCGGAGCGAATTTACGGTTCGAGACGCGTACCATTCGATGAGAGAAAAGGTCCACTTTAACGTGGATGCGCGCGACGTTCCCCATCGATTCGACGTCGCGTATTTCACGCGGACCGAGTTTTCTCTTCTCGTAGAAACGAATCCATCCTGAATTGCGAGCGCGTACAGTTGCGACGAGGAAAACACTATAAGCGGCCAATTCTTTCCCTGGCCACGCCGGTGTTCTCGTACACGCTTCGTTAATCTAACGAGCCGTTTCTGTAACGAAGCATCGCGTCGCGACGTGCATTTTTATCGACGTGCGACATCAATCCGTATGAGGTGGAAGTCTTTTATTTAATAAATAGTCACAGAGCTCCGTCTCACGATCGTTCCAGAGGAGTGCTCGGTGCCTTCTTCCGCCTGGTTCTGTGTGAATTGCGCTAACAATAATTCGTCCTGTATTCGAGGTCATAATACATTTCTTTTTAAATATTCTTATTAATAAGCAACAGATTTCTATGCAAAATGTAAAAAAATAGATGAAAAAATTGTTCGTATCATTACAGAATGCTTATATTATACATAGGAGAGAATTGAGATACTTTTAGACGAGAAAATTATTTTTAAGGAAAAGTCTGATTCATCAGGCGATAACAGTTCCTACCCTGCTCGCAACAAGTTTAATATAAGGCACTACGTATGTATGAAAAATTGAGCTCTATAATTAACTGGAGTGTGAACTTCTGTAAGAAGAAGTAGTGGTCGGGAATGTCTGACTGAGAGGAAATGCTATGCGGTGAATGCGTCCTTCTTCCTACTATCCCTCTCTTACTAAGTACGGTACTGTAGCAAATTTGCGTGTAGTGGGGGTGTATACTGTATATTGAGCTCTATGCTGTATTTTAAATTGTATGTCGATCTTTCAATAATTTAATGTATGTCGGCTAAATTCTAATTAACAAATGGATAAAAGCGAATTTTTGCACATTCATTTCATGATCCTTGACCAATCCTGTCAATCCTGGGTAGCTACATAAAGCCAGTGGTCATCCCCTTTAAAATCATCCTAATAATTATTTACGGTTGTCCATAAATCGAGGAAGAGCGAATATACAGATTGGAACCGGAAGAAATTTCGATAGAATGATCTTGCAATTTCGGTTAACTGCATTTTACAATTAAGCCTGGAGAGCTCGGCGCTCGCGATCCGACGATTCTTTGACCGCCGAGTGCATCACATCGACTACTCGATATTGTATATATTTTGGTTGTCGTTTCGCTTGAATGAATTTGATGGTTTTTTCGGTGATCTCGTTTGTATTAGCTGAAAGCCTGCATTCGTACGTGCTCTATCATTTAATTCGGATTCTCGTTATGATTGTGGTTTCGATGTCGACTTTAATTTTGATCACTATTCTGGCTCAGATTTTCATTCAGATTTTGATTACGATTGTAGTTTCGATTTCGATTTTAATTCTGATCCTGATTCGGATTCGGATTTTAATTCAGGCTCTGATTAGCATTGTGGTTTCAATTGTGACTTTAATTCTGATCGTGATTCTGGTACGGATTTTAATTCGGATTCTGATCAAGATTGTGGTTTAGATTTCTGATTCTAATTCGGATTTTGATTATGATTTCGATTTTGATTATGATTTTGATTTTAATTCTGATTGTGATTTCAATTCTGATTCTAATTTCTATTTTAGTTCACTTGCAGTTAGCATCTACTCTTTGTTTTCAGTTTTCCATTTGACCATTACTTGGACCAATAGTTTATCAAGAAATAGACGAAAGGAAGGAAGGAAGACATCGACGCATAGTTTCAAGAAATGGAAGAAAACTCGATACATAATTAATTCGGTAAATATCTCTTCTACATCGACAATTGGTCTCCTATCGCATTTTATGTCTACTATTTCCTTTCATAGTTCTGGTCCACTGTTGCCCGGAACGGTGGTTCATCAAGGACTAAAAGGAGAAGGAAGGAGGATCTCGACAGATAATTACAATAAATGGAAGAGAGGAGAGAGAATGTCGAAGAGAGAATGTTGCATTAATTTGCTCGTATCCAGGACGTGAGACAGATTGGCGGTGGTCAGAACACTCTCGCGCAGGGGCATGATCATCCTTGTGCAAGGCCCTGCTCGATTCGAACTCTGGCTACCCAAGTGAAATTTGACATTTTGCACTTTCCTTCCTTTTTGTCGCAATTTTGTAATGAGAATTAGAGTCAGACACTTGCTCGTAAAAATCTCCTCCAATATTCGCTCCGTATAATAGAGTGGTAATTGATATGAGAAGGGAGCAGTGGGGATTGTCCACTGCTCGGGTTTCGAATGTAGTCACCTCCACGCGGTGAGATCTGGGTTGGTATCGTTTTCACTCTTATCTTTGGAAACGGTACCAAGCGAAGAACTACAATCTAGTTTGAGAATCTTTTTATTTGTATGTGAAAGTGTATTTTATTAATTTAATATATGTGCTAATAAATGTTGAGATAAGGAAAATATCTGATTTAATTTTGATTAATAAATGAATGGAAACAAATCTTGGAATTTTTATTTCACCTTCTTTCCTTCATCCTTCATCAAATGACTAAACTTAAGAATGGCTACTTAAAAACTGTTCGAGCCGAGTTTATGAGACTTGAGTTGAACTTTTTAAGCGGTATCAAGCGAAAAACTACAATCCGCTTAGAATATCTCTATCTTCTTAGATTGATCCTTCTTGAACATCTCTCAAGTTTCGTACAATAGAAATGAAGTTAATACAAATTCTATTTATTAAACTCGTGAAGACATCTTAATGAAACTTGAAAGACACTTACGTAAATATTTTCTGAACACGTCTTCAAAGTTTCGTCAAAATCACGATGAGATACAATCAGATGTAACATTTTTACGAGACTGTAATCGCTACTTGCTTTTATGCTATCATAAATTCAGAAAATAAATTCGTCAACTAAAAATTTTTTAAATAATGTTCGATAAAATGAAAATTTTCTTAATACTGTAGATTGCGTAGCAATGGTCTCTGTGTATCCAACAGACAGTACTTTACCTTCCATCCCTTTCTATCGACTACCAGTTCATTTACCTACACAAGATACTCTATCGACTCCCAGTAAGTTACAACACCTAATGACTTTCTAACTATTCACATATTCGAATCGGTGAGAAACTACTAGTAAATTCCTCGGTGTATAATCTAGCGAAGCTATCAATATCATGTCGCAAGTGTTTTGCGACAGCTGGTGACCCTGTAGGGTCGTTAGCGACAGCAAGTCACGCATTCAACTCGGACAAGTCGAACCATCACGCGCGTGATATGCGATCAGAAAATACGTATGCACTTTGACTTTCAGAGCGGCAGGACGCGACGACGGCGGTAAGCGAGAACCAGCCGCTGTTTTCCCTCGCTAAGAATAATGATCACGTAGATGCAAATCTCAGCCCACTTAGAAGTCGATAACTCTCCGTCGAGATACGTGAAAGCATCGCCCGTAGAGAAGGCCCATTTTATTGAGCTGATACAATCGGTGGATCGGGTGAAATCGTGGCGAACTTATTATGTATTACAAGCTTGTACGGACAATGACTCGTTCGATGTTATCGGAATCCTCGTCGCGCTGTACGTACATACAATATTTACAGCTGTCGGCTTGGCGATGATTTTCACGCTTGGAGGCAGCTTTGTTCGTTCGACGATCCAAATAATTAAAAATCGTTCGCCGCGGCTTATAATAAGGAATGCAAAACGTTCAATGAATGTTGAATGATGCTTAGTAACGTTCTAAGGATAATGGTGGAAAGGGAATTGCAAAGGTTAGCCATGAACAAGAGAAACAAAAAGGAAGAAAAAGCTACTGGTACATGGCATTCCTCGCTGGCTTTCGAGTAGCTGCTAATGAACGTGGACCGTAGCCGTAGGTGCATTCGGCGCACTTTACGCTAATGCTTAAACAAATGTCCTGCCATGCGAAAAACTCGACTTTTGTTGCACCAACGCCGCGTTTTGTATGTGTGTAACACT